GGTGAGTAGGTACTACATAGGTGGTATAGGAAGGGCCAGGTAGGGTCTGGATGAGTAGATCCAAAAAGCAGGTATTAGGTCGTATAGTACTAGGTCGTTGAAGGGTCCAGGGGGTTTGGGGTGGAGACTTCAGGGTGTAGGGCGTACGGCTTTTAGAGGTGTGTTAGGCTACCTAAGTATTGGGCTTACTATGCCTTTGGGTTGGAGCAAGATTCATGATACCAAAAGCTAAAGTAAGAGAACCTGCTGCTTGGTGCTACTCGGTAGTATTGCTATGACTGCTAACCGACTAACAAGTTTCGAGCATACTTGGCTCGCCCTGGGCAGGTGCTGGTACGCAAGAGGGAGGCCGGCAGCGAGCTCTCTTTGTTTCGATCGTTTCGGGAGTTTTGCTAGCTTGGCCCGGGTAGGGGATGCGGAAGAAGCAGAGCCTATTCCATTGTCCAGCCACAGACGCCTGCAGGTCTCAATTGCGCAAGTTTCCGCATGCAGACACTGTTACACTGGAGCTCTCACTAACTTGGCTGCAGACTGCTTTGACGCGTCTTGTCTTCTTCAGGGAGTGAAATGCCGCTGAACGCCAAATATGGTTCTGAGGACGCTCCCCCTGGTGGATTGCTTGCATTCCTGAGTGTGCAATACGTGTAGAAGCGATGTACGTGGATTCTGGGTCGCTGAGCATTACAAGGCCCCGTCGAGTCAAAGTTCCAGCATTGTCGTAATACAACGTACCGATACATACATATATATATATATACACACACACTCTCTCTCTACTCTACTCTTCTCTACTCCTAACTATATACTATTCTGTATGATACTATACTGGACTACACTACCTCCTGTTCCAATCAGACAGTTCGCCGCAGGATATCGGAGCATGGCTGGAGTCGGTAGGCGCGCAGTATGTCAAGGCAGGTGTCAAGCATGCCGCTCGGCTAATATAGGGCATAGGGCCTCAATAATTACCCATGCTATCCTATACTATTTCGGCGGTTCTTTACTATAATTATAGTAGAATGGGCCCCAAACCCTATTCTAATTATGAAGGCCCCTATAGTAGAGAAGCCTGTTGAACGTCGCAATGGCACGGCAGGCGTTGCTCTCTTTCCTTCAACCCTCAGCGTCTGTGCCCGATCCAAAGCTTTCTTGGCCCCCCGATGAAGTTCTTAGTATCTATGACAGAAGCAGAGGCCATGGTCTTCATTTGTGGCCCTCCGGGCCTTGCAGAGGCAGCTAAGGCCACTCCGTGTCGAGGGTAGGGCAGAAGCAAGGTAAAGCTGTGACGCTCCTTACACTCAAGTCGGGATGGAGCGGCAGAGGGAGTGGTCAGGGTTACATGGCTGCTGCTTAGAGGATCATGGGACTTAGCAACTGGGGTTATTATTCAGGTAACTATACTTATTGTCCCAATTGGGGTGCTTATATCCATACTTCCGAAGTCCAACGATCCTCCAAGTGGGTGCTCACGGTTCAGACGTCTGAGGATGGTTTGGGTCCACGGAGGTTCGGCTGAACACCCCAGCAAGACCCTAAGCCCTGAGTTCACCGTACAAACGCAGGGTTCCTTGTTATAATCATGGTACAACATATTCGAATCATTAAGGCCCCCCTATTCTAGAACCCTACTATAGATCCCGTATAGTAACCCCTTTAAAGGACTCCTTAAAGGAACCCTATTAATTCCCTAAACCCCTAAACCCCTAACCCCTAAACCCTTAAACCCCGAAACCCCCACATCCTAAACCCTAAATCTTAAACCACTAAACCCTAAACCCCTAAACCCTCAACCCTATTCTAACTCTTAAGGCCCTATCTTATTGTAACCCCTACTACAATCATAGCATAACATACCCCATAACCCTACTCTAAGTTTTAAATCACTTTTAAAGGACCCCTTATAGCCTATAGATCCCTTTAAAGGAACCCTAAGCCTTTCTTAGGCTCCTCCAACTCTTAAGGCCCCTACTATAGATCCCTTATAGTAACCCCTTTAAAGGACTCCTTAAAAGAAACCTTATTCAAATTATTAGGGCCCTAACTTTTAAGGCCCCTATCTAACCGCAGGGCGCCGCGAAGCGGTCGGCCGGGGGTCTCGCATGGCACGTTCACGTGGAGGAGCCCCGCAGTGAAAGGCTTTAAAAGCTTTAAAAGGGGCCTTATAAAGGGATCAAGGGTACTAGAAAATAGGGGGCTTTAATAATCCTATAGCTTACCTTTGGTTAGTAGGGAATGGAGGAATGGGGTACAATTATAACTACTACTACTACTACTACTACTACTACTACTACTACTACTACTACTACTGACTACTACTACTACTACTACTACTACTACTACTACTACTACTACTACTACTACTACTACTACTACTACTACTACTACTACTACTACTACTACTACTACTACTACTACTATATACTACTACTACTACTACCACTACTACTCTTCCATTCCCTACTAACCAAAGGTATCGTAAAAGGCTCTGAGTTTTGGGGATTTAGGGTTTACCCTAAGGCTCCGTAGTAGTTCCTTTTTAGGGTTCATATCTAGAATCCTAGAAGGTAACCCCAAAAAGGAACTACTTTGGAGCCTCTGGGTAGGGCTTAGTTTGGTTTCAGGTTTGGTTAGGGCTTCAAGGTCATCTTCCAGGGATTTTCAGACCTAGAGCTTGGATCCATGACCCCAAAGCAATGGCTGCGCAGGAGTTCTTGTTCCTCCCCTCCTTGGGCCCCTGCGCGGGGAAGACATCTCAGACGGCTCCCACTCCAGGCCACACGGATTTGGGTGGTGGGGCTTGGGCTTGGTATGCTTGTGGCCGCTGGGGAAAGTGTTATCAGGAAGTGGTGCCCAACATGTGAAGCGACTGAATTTTCGTTGATCCTGGCTGGCCATTACAGCGTAAGATCATAGGCTCCAGGTAGGAAGCCCTCTTGTCCACTCATGCATTTCAAGATGCTGGCTCAGGAAAGGCTTGATGATTGTTGTGTTCGTGCAGGCGGCGGCAAAGCCTCAGAATGTGGCTTGTCAGCACTTTGCTGCAGTCCTGGTGCCTGGATATAGTTTATCCCTATCACCATTGGAGGAGTTTCTTAGCAGTGTGACGACGAAGGTAATTGTCGAGCTTGTTTCTACTTCACAGACATGACATACACTCTCCGCCACCATCCGCTCCTTGAGGAACAGACGCCGACCACAACTGCTGAAAACCCGGCCCGTCTGGCCTCGGCAATGGTTCGTAGTCATCCTTTGTTGCTCATGTGCGGTCGTAGCACCGGTGATGGCTGGTGCTCACGAAACCGCAGGATATCTATCTGTCTATCTATCTATCTATATATATATATATATGTATATATCAGTATGTACCTACACGTACACTAACTAAGAAGTCGCCTCAAGCTTTCGACTGTCGGCCGGACACGAGCCCTGGGTTGACTGGTGGCGACGCTTGAGAAGTCCTGGAGATACGATGGACCTATCAGGCATCTCCCACAGAGCCTGGCCGGTTTGTCGGAATGTACAAGCGGCCTTTCACATCTGCCCTCGATGCCAGTTTCGGACGGTAGCACGGAATGATGACGAGAGTGAGTGAGTGAGTGGTCTACCTTTCTCTATCTCTCTAGCTCTCTCCGTCTCACGCCCATTCTCTCTCGGATTGTTTTTTAATTTTCCTCTCCGATCTCTACAGATAGCCCGGGTACCGAAATGATAGGTTTACGGACGTCAATGAATCGTTAGGTACCTTGCAGATCTCTGAACCGAGCTGCGCCAAAGCAAGCATCCATCACCAGCAACAGCTTTTGCAATTTTGGCAACATTGCACCATGCCTTGCACTGAAGCGTTCCTTGGACCGGTGAGCGCAGTTGCAATATTAGTTTTGTTCGTAGTTATAGCAATAACAATAAGGATAGTAACAATAGTAACAACACTGATGAAAAATAGCAATAATGACAGTAATAGTAGGAATGATCAGAACAATATATGATGAACGAAAATTGTAAGACTGTTGCAGCTTGCGAAAGTGGCATTCCGTGGGGCACCCACTTGGCGCGTCCTGCGCATCTGTTTCCTTCGTGCCGGCGCTGGGGACGTTCCGGACCTTTGCATGCTGTGGCACATTCTGAATACTCGTGAGACAACTTCTGACGGATGCTGGAATCTAGTTCTAAAGAGTCCGGCAGAACATCCACCAATCGACCGCCTGGGGATGCAAGTGCAAGGTCATTTGCAGAATTTGTCGCACTCAGGCAGTAGCTGTCTATGTCGGATGCTGCTTCCTGCACCATCTGACAGCATGTCAGGCCCTTTTGCGGCGGTTGTTTTGTTCAGCTCGATGGCTGAGATTTTTCAGTCAAAGAGAGAAGCTGCTGGCACCACCCTTCACATAGCTGAAGGTAGTTCGAAAGAACAAGACCAGACAGTTCCGCACCGCAGCGTACAGCAAAGATGGTTGGCTTACGTCCGTCTCAGGATCGCCACATCATTTGGGGTGCTGTGTTCCACGCCCAAGAGTGTTTGCTTTAGCCTTGAGGTGTATCGAAGCCACTCACTCACCAACAAGCAGTGAATGATCAACCTGTGACGGTGATTGCGGTCATGGTCGGCCATATATGTATCAATGCCATCGACGAGTTCCGCAACTTCACGCACGGCACAGTACAACAACAAGAAGAGTACGAATAGCGAGAGCAAGAATCAGAGCATTGAACATCGCAGTGACCTGAATGGATATTTGTGTTGGCATGATCGAGGGTCAGAATCATGCTAAGCATCTCAGAGGCATGCGGTTCTTCTCAGTCATGGGCCGTTTCCGATACCCTGACATCTACGCTATACTGAAAGCAAAGGGAAAACCAAGCTACAGTACTAGCCGGAAAGTTGAACATCGCTATCCTCATGGCCTTAAGGTAAAGTCCAGGGAATCCTAGCGCCAATGATCCTAAACCCATGTTCCAACTTTCTGGGGTTCGCTGTGATGCCTTCCCCCCAAAGCAATCAGGTTGGGCGGTCGATCGGCCCAGTTCTCAGCTTTGCTTCTACGAAATGCAGTACGGTTTAGGGTTGTTGGTTTAGGGTTCAGGGTTATTGCAAGCAAATGTGGAACAAGGAAAGGTTTGCAAAGTTTTGATGTTTGATACTCATTCTGTTCAGTTCGGCCCACATTCTGCGTTCACCCAAGGCTTCCGCACGCGGTATGACAGCTGTGTGGACCCCTCCAGGCCGTGCCGGTAGTTGAGCTAGCGTTTTTCCTTCGTTTATCCGTTTGTTTTCCTTGTTGTTCGTTGTTTACGCTGATTATTAGTATTAGTATTGTTACTATTATTATTACTAGTACTAGTACTATTACTATTACTATTACTATTACTATTACTATTACTATTACTATTACGATTACGATTACGATTACGATTACTATTACTATTACTATTACTATTACTATTACTATTACTACTACTACTACTACTACTACTACTACTACTACTACTACTACTACTACTACTACTACTACTACTACTACTACTACTACTACTACTACTACTACTACTATTACTACTACTGTTGTTATTACTACTATCATCATGATGGCCAGTCTCTTGCTGGCAGCGGCCCAGCTGGCAATAAAGATGTCTAAAGATATATGCGAGTTGGAGTATGGTCGCATCCCACCGACGCGGCAATCGTTCAAAGAGCTGTGGCGGGAGTAGCAGCCAGTTCTGCAGACGCGTTTTTGGCAAAAGAAGAAATGGGGGTTTCCGAAAAATAGGGGACCCCAATACAGACCCTAAATAGTGGGATCCTTATTATAAGGCTCCCAAAAATAAGGTACCCCTCATGTTTGCAAACTCCCAAGTCTTCTTAAGCCTTGTGCATCGAACGCCTTCCGATAAGAGTCGGCCGTGGAGGATGCGGGTAGAAGTCGTGACGGACGGAGTGCTTGCCCGGCGACTGCAGGCCAATGCAGTCTTCTCCCTGGCATCTTCAGTGATTCTTGTGGCTGGGGGTTTGGGGTTTGCATAGGGTGCCGGAACTGGGTGCTGCAGGCTCTTGACCTACCTTTGAATCTTGGCGGTTGTTGACTCCTCGCGGTGGATTTGCGGCGAGTCTATTCCTTGAGCAGCCTCAGAATGTCGTTTTCTCAGCCAGCCAGACGACACACGTCTGTGAAGTCGGTCTGGAAGCATAGACTGAGCAGTTTCTGAACCTGCTACAAACCCTGGTAGTGAAGGTAGGGTGCAGTCGTCCATGCATTCGCAAGACTGGTTGTGCCTCACAAGGCATTCCGAAGTAGCAGCGAGCCATAGCAAGCGACGGAAGTGCCCATGACGGAAGATCGTCCATGCTTCTGCGGAGAGTGGAGGCTGCCTGCAGCTGGATCTGCATTCTCCTGCCAGTTTCGCTCTCACTGCGGCCGTTACAGCCGCCTGAGATTTGCACCCGCACCGAAGTTCCGGAATTTTACGAACAGATCTACCGAAACTTGGAACCATATAAAGTTTTGGATGAACAACACTTGGCATTCTACGATGGATTCTGCGCAAGGCGGCAGAAGGCATGCATTCGGCTGAGAATCGTCAACGGTGCAGCCTATGTTCTCGACATGTTCCCCGGATACCAAAGTCGTCATCGCAGCACGCTGCACGCGATCTATCGGGTGATTTCAAGATTTGGCAACCTTCCGGATGTCGAGGTAACGATTGATCTTACAGATGGTGAGCTTCAGAATATCGATCTCCCGTTTTTTGTCATCACACACAAGAAGGAAGCCCCTGTTGGTGTACTGTACCCCGACTTCACATTCTATTCCTGGCCAGAGAGCATGTGCCCTTCCTCTGAGAACGAGATTTCTCACAACTACGACCAGCTCTTTCGCGAGTTCCGTCAGCACTGGGGGGTGAGGGCAAGGTGGAATGTTCAGAGTAGATTGCTTATGAGGCAGTGAACATAAGCCATTGCCGATGGTACTGCACGACAGAATCCTGCAATCTGGATATGGCTGCAGTGCTTGTTAGGGGGTTCCTGCAGAATATATGCCCCGGTCAAAGCCATGCTATCGAACAATATACACATACATTCTCACTTACATGCATACGTACATACATACGTGCGAAGTATATCTGATCCTAGCTGCTGGACCCTACAGGCCTTATAGGGTTTAGGGTTTAAGGTCGGCTGCCAGACCCAGACCCTGTAGGTGGCAGAACCGCAGTGACACCCTTTTCTGGCGAGGCGCTCCGGTGGAGGACCCGAGCGTTGCCTGAACGACAGTTTGCTAGAGACCAGAAACACATGCCCACATGCGTCGTATAGAACCACATATAAATATATGTATATATATATATATGTACTAGCTATGTACACACATACATATGTAAGTAAGTATTACATGTATGAAATGTATCGTAACGTAATGTAACATAGCGCAATGTATTGCATTGCATAGCATTGCATTGTATGTATGTAAGTAGGTATGTATGCATGTATGTAGAGATACAGATGTAGTAGACCTACCTACCTGCCTGCCTAGCTACATACATACATACATACATACACGCATGCTTACATGCATACATGACTGCACGCATTGCATGCAGGCATAGCTAAACATACATATCCACGAATTGTAATTCTACTTTCATCCGTCTCTGAGTGTCAGACTTACACGGTCGCATCCGTGCATATATACACAAGTACCTCTTTAGTCCTGCGGGAGTTGGGATTTGGATTTGGCCCCGGGTGTCAAACTTACACGGTCGCATCCGTGCATAATATACACAAGTACCTCTTTAGTCCTGCGGGAGTTCGGATTTGGATTTGGCCCCGGGCGAAAGATCCGATCATGGTCGTCCAGTGCGCGATTCACTGACGGACAGGCTGAAGCCCAACAGACAAAACAAGTGCTGTCATAAACATCAATCAACCACAATGAACTACAGTATACGATCATCTACTATAATACCCTTTTCTCCCCTTTCTTGGGGGAGGTCTCTATCATGTCTGGACAAGGACCAAGGCGCTCGCTCTGTGGCACTGGAGCAGATCCAAGCTGTCGAAAACTCCGATGCGAAGTTCATATCTTGGCAGCTGATCTGCGCATGGGTGGGTCCTTTTGATAAGGGTGCCCCACCAAGGGACCCTAATTTAGAGAACTACCCACCTGCTGATGATGTTCGGTCTGGGCTGCAGGTTCGAAGGATGGCTGTAATTTCCCAGTTGTTTCTCGGTTTTGGCTTGGACCCTAAACCCTAAACCCCTAACGCCCTAAACCCTTAAACCCTCAGTCCAGGAAAGCCGTGTCCTCCACCGGCCAGAATGAGGTGCAGGGCTGCGTGGGCTTGCTGGAGCAGTGCAAGCACCGGTATCTCGCCTTTCTAGCCGGCACCACGTACTCCTCACGCATCAAGTATCAGCTGCTTTGTGGTTCCCTGGTCTTAGCCCAAGAGCCTCGCTTCCTGGAGTGGTGGAGCCGGCTTTTGGCTCCTGGAGTTCATTATGTGCCGGTGGAGAAGAGCTGGGCCAACGTGCAGCCACTGATGCAGCTTCTGCGGCAAAACCCCGTCCAGGCCGCGAGGATCGCACGTCAAGGGCAGCGGCTTGCGATGGCGGCGCTGTCCCCAACGTCCGTTGATTGCTACTGGTGGATGCTGCTGGCTTCAAGCGCCCGAGTGCTACCTCCAGCCTCCGGACCCTTGAGCTTGAAGGCCCGGCCACTCGAGGACGTCTTACTTCTGCCCGACGATGCCACGCTCTCTTCCCTGCCTGAGCCTGAGAGCCATGCTGGCAGCTTTGCATATTCGCGTGTGAGTTTCTGCCATATATTCCTTGAGGCATGGCCTGAAGGGCGGCATCTCAATGCAAGTGGCCCCGAAGCCCGAAACGCAGGACCGGGGCTTGTCGGTGGTCGGTGGTAGCCTAGTTGCTTGCAACTGAAAGTGCCAGTTTGCGAGAAGTCGATTCAGGCTCCTGCTTCTCGGCTCTAGGGCCGGCAAAGGTGCATCCAAAATCCCGGACATCATTTTTACACCACTCCTGCTTTTGCTTGCGACTGCATCCCACGAGCATGTTACTGCAACGGCATGGCTGTGGCTCAACGGATCAAGCTTAGAGCCGAATTTAGTGCCAAGCATGAGATGAGACCAAGAGTCTAACTATACTTATTACTATGTTATCATTACTACGATTATTATTATTGTTGTTATTATTATTGTTGTTATTGTTATTTAGCGTACTCAACTCACCGGGTCGTACTGCGAAGACAAGTACTTGTACGTCCCCGCGCAACGCTCCATGCACTCTTTTGCGATCGCATGCTGCCTGGCGCTGGGCCTCCATGAGGCGCCACGCCATCACGTTTAGGGTTTACGGTTTAGGGTTTAGGGTTTAGGGTTTGGGGTTTAGGGTTTAGGGTTTGGGGTTTAGGGTTTAGGGTTTGGGGTTTAGGGACCACGGGAACTTGAAAGTTACGGTGTGGCAGGACATCTTGACCATGATATGGAGTAGACTGTAAATGTAGGACAATATGATCTAGTCCAATGAGTCCAATGTCAATAGCATACAAGATAGAGCACAATACAATGAAGCATATGACCTCTTCAAAAAATAAACAAGTACTGGATTTTGGAGAGCTGCAACCACACAGATTCGGGGTTTTGGCATTCATGGTTGAGGCAGGAGCTGCGGCGACCACTGGTGGCCGTCGGCTGGACATCGTGAACCGATGTAGCCGCCCCATGGTGCCCACCTTACCTGCCCTCAGGGTTCTACTCCACCTGAGTTGCAGTTTGGGGAGTGTAGACATCTGCAAATCCGCCTTTACATCCTTGAATGCTCCTATAATTTTCCAGCAGCTTGCACGACTCCTTCATGGCCGGACACGTCGTGCCTCTCGCCACATGTCGCCGCGACGCTGAGGTCATCGCTCCTACTGGAGGCAATTCTGAAATCCCGTGTGGCAGCAGCAACTTGGATGCTCAGAGTGATGAGAACATGGTACAATGGGCCCCAAGATCCTATTATTCTAATATTAAGGCCCTAGATTAGAAATCCATGTAGGGCATTTCTCGATACGAAGTTCGAGTCGCATATACCAAACTTCACTCGGAATCGCCGGGTCACGGTTGAATCCTGAAAGCTCAGTCTGTCACTGAGGCTGCCCTGGTGGCATGACTTGCAATCCGAAGACGGCACAATGCTACTTCGATCTCCATCAGCCAGGTGAACTTGTGTACGCTTCATGCCGTTGATTGCTGCTAGCTTAATGCTTGCGCGCTTGCCCGTCACTGCCTTGCGCAATCAACCCGCGATAGAACTGCTGGAGAAAGACTAGACTGACTAGAACGGCAATTAGCTCTTGCAGACGGACAGCTTCCTACAGAGCAGGAGAGGACTGGACGATAGCTCCTGGCGAGACACTGGTCATGCACACACCTAACGAGGCGGTTCAGCAAGGCGCTCTGCGGCCCGAGCGTTGCAGACTCATGTCCCAGCTGCGGTGCCGGGGTTCGTGTTGGGGCAGCTGTGTTGTAGTCGTCGTGCTAGCAGAAGCAATTTGATTTGCAGCAGCTTCAGCAGCGGTAATTGAGAGTTGTCGAGGGGGGGCCGAGAGTGATGAGTCGTAGGATGGTGGTGTATTGCTATAGCAGCACAGCTCCAGTCCGCAGGCAACGGGATCTTTGCCGAGTGGAGTGGGAAGATCGAGTTCTACCCGAACCATACTCAGGATGGCGGATTGATCCCATCTGCCTTCTGCAACGACAAAGACTTCTGTCCGTCCTATCAGGGGCTCAACGGCGTGGCTACCGCCATCGAGTTTACTTTTGTCCCATTCGGCCCAGATTACTACGATGTCTCCATCATCAACGGCTTCAACATTGGAATTGAAATGTTGCCTGGCTGCTGGGAGCAAAATCAATGTCCAAGCTGCCTATCCTGAATCGTGCTCACGGTGTGGCGGCAAAGTGCCCACAGAACCCTAGATCCTAAGCCCCTAAACCCCTACACATCTCCTTAAACCATGCTAGGAAGCCGAATTCCGCCTTCACGCAGACGACGGAGGAAGCCGCTGGCAGCTACGAGGGCTACAACTGTGGCAGTGCTGGTGCCTTCCATCAGCCGGACCCGCGCCTGAGTGGCTCGGCTGCTTCTTCGCCTGGCACGCAGGAGTATGATAGTAGTGTAATTAATAAGACGACAGACAATAACAATAATAACAATGCTGCAATGCTAAGAGAAAACAAAGATGTATACGAATAGTCGCTATTCTTCTATATCGTTGTTGTTTCTCTTAGCATTGTTATTGCTGTTAGTGAATAGTCATAGCATTCGTAATTGCAATAGACTTGGCAATAGTAATTAGTAGCAAATCGATAGGAAATAGTATCAGTAGTACGTATAATGTTACTAGTCATGGTAATCGCAATCTTAACAACAATAGTCGTGGTAACGGCAATAGATTGTAATAGTACTTCTAATAGTCAGAGTGAGGGTGAGGGTAAGAGTAGGAACAGGAGTAAGGAATGCTATAAGAGTCGCAGCAACAATAGAAATAGAATGATCAGTCGCCATAGTATCACTACTATTAAGAGTATGAAGTACCAGTAATAGCAAAGACTAAGCATAATCAAAGGCAGGAGTAGAAATAGCAATGACAACACTAAACTTAGTTGAATGGGAAGGCAAGAAAAGGCCTAAACCGGGCACTGCGAGGCTCATGCTCTTGGAGCTTCCAACCTTCGACTCCCGGGCAAGATCCTGGGCTCTTGTTGAGGGAAGATAATTTCAGTTGCCATAACAAAGAAACCCTATCATTTAGTATAAACTCCTAATTATTATGGTACCTTAAACTCCTATAATTATTATGGTGCATTAAACTCCTGATTATTCTGGTACCCTAACTTAAGTTTTATTGGTCAAGAGCCCAGGATCTGGGCCCTCTTCTTCGGCAAGTGGATGGGAGCGGTGGCAGCTGCTCTTCGGATGAGGACTGCCCCAGCGGTCTGGTCTGCGGGCAAGTGGGTGCCTAGGTGGCACTTTGGGAAAATTTTTGGTTTTCCCTATGGTTCCTATAAAGGTACCTATTCATAAATACTTCTATAAGGGCCCGTAAACTCTAAACCCTAAACCGGAACTACAATCCAGGTGTCCGTGTTCTCAACCCCACGACGAAGCAGTACCAGCCGACAGAAGAGATCCGGATGGAGTGTGGCCATCAGATTGGTTTGTGGTCTGCCTATCAACTCTGCGTCTGGAGTGGAAACACGTACGTCAGCCCAGCGCCTTTTGAGGGCTGGATTGATTGTCCGTCCCATCACTTGATGTTCGCTTGTGCTGGGCACGAGCCATGGATCACCACCTGCTACTCTGAGGGGTCGCACGACGATGGCTGTTGCGGCTGTGCGAATTGGGCCGAGATTCTAGACACACCCGTGCCGAAAGCACATGGCTGCCGGGGCACCAGTACCGTCTGGCAGGAGCACGCACTCCCATATTATGAGATTCTCAAACGCGGCTGCCCCACGGCATACACGTAACCCGGCACAACTTCTCTTCCCACTGCTTTGTTTAGAGATCTCCCTAACCCCAAACTACAACACCTGGCTTCCCGTGAGTACCAAGGTCGAAGCGGCCCGACAGTCTAGATCCGAACCCCTGAACCCCAAACTCCGTAATTAATCCTAAAATCCGAAGCACAAACCCTGAACCCTAAATCCTGGACTTAAACCCTAATCCTCCAAAAAAGTCTTAAACCTAAACACGGAAATCCAAACCATGCAGCAAGGTTTGCGTACGACGATGAGTCCTCGACCTTCACTTGCCAGAATGCAGACAGTCGACAGAACGAATCTCTTGCTCCTCACCTGACAGATTCCAAACTTGAGAGTCCCACCACTATAGCGCATTCTGTTTCCATAGGATTGGGACCTGGATTTCACGAAATCTGATTGCTGTTCGAGAAACAACAGCGAGTTCTTGATAGCCGCCTAAGTTGCGAGCAGTCCTACAAGTAGAGTCTCAGAGAGAGGGCATGTGAAGAACTGAGGCTGCTTGCGGCACGTACGCGGAAGATGCTCGGTGAGGCTTTCAATGTCAGATGGGTTTCACAAAGTCTAAGATCTGACGCACCCTGATGTAAGCCCGGAAACAGAAGCTTAGGAAAACACTAAACCCGAAACCCTAAAACCTTAAACCCCAAACCCGAAACCCCTAAACCCCTAAACCCTAAACCCTAAGCCCGAAACAGAACCTTAGGAAGAGGCTTGTCCGCGACGTTTCTGCGATTGGTACGGCGAGGCGGTTGGATGCCAGCCTAAGGCCAATGATGCAGGAGCCGCAGGAAAAAGTGGTACTGTTGACAATAAAAATCCTGCATTAACCACAATGAGGAATATACCATAATTCCCATAGTTTCGAGTCCTTAAGGTAATGCAGGATTTATATCATCAACAGTACACTTGTCGGTTGGGTTTAGGATCCAGGGTCATGGGCGCTAAGCCCTAGAAGCCTAATAAACCTATATCCTCGACATCTTTACTTCCCCCAAGTGTCCGCAGGATACATCATTACGCTCTGTCCTGAAGCACCGGAGCATTCGTGGACAGCTTCGGAGCTTTCTGCAGAGACTGCAATGGGGCATTCCACCATCACCACAAGCACAAAAACCACCACCACAACGGCGTGGTCGTGCCAAACTGGAGATGTCGTCCCCTGTTGTGCGGATCGACAATGCCCTGAGACCTGCGCCGGCAATCAGTGCTGTCCAGACGGGACGGCCTGCCCGTCCGCCAGTGACAACTTTACACTCTGTCCGGCTCCCAGGCTCTACACTTGTCCCCCGGAAACCACGGCTCCCACCACATCTGCCCAAGACGGCTCTGCAGATGATGTGAGGCAGGCGTCCCTGCACGCCGGCGCAAGGAGCTCCCATCACTGCTATTGTCGAACTTCCGAACACTTCCTTGTGATTCCCCGTGGCTCAGGATACTCCTACCTCCTACTCCTCTTACTCTTACTACTACTCCTGCTACTGCTACTCCTGCTGCTGCTAGTCATTACCACTACTACTGCCACTGCCACTACCACCATCACCACGACCACTGGCGCTGTTGCTTCTGCAGCTGTTGCTGCTGCTTCCCCTCCTCCTGCTCGTACTGCTACTGCTACTGCTACTGCTACTGCTACTGCTACTACTACTACTACTACTACTACTACTACTACTACTACTACTACTACTGCTACTGCTACTGCTACTGCTACTGCTACTGTCTCCTCCTTCTACCGTAACTACTAGTATCTGCTTTCTTGTGCCACCGCGATTGCCTTTACAACGGCGACGACCGCTACTGCGACGATGACGCCGACTTCTTTTTCCGTGGTGCCAGAGCCGGCATCGGCACTGTTGTTGATGTTGTAGTTGTCGTAGTTCTTGTTCATGTTGTTTGTGGTCGTGGCGGTTGTGCCATCATCCTCCTTGCTGCCCTGGTGGTTGCGGTGCATAGTGCTTGGGCGATGCTGCAGTCCGGACTTTTGGTAGCATCATGTCATGAGTCAAAGGTCTCCGAAGATGCCTTAATTAAGATGCTTCCTCGAAGCTGTCGGCTCCCCAACTGCAAATGACATCTATCACAATGCAAACTATGCAAAGTTATTGCAACTGCCACCGCGATCCTCGTGACCATCATCATCGTCATGCGTGAGCCAGTGACATCTCCACTTGCCCGTTCCCTTTCAGGAGCGAGGTGGAGCCGGAGGCATCAGGCAGAGTTCTGGCGGGCGACATCACTGTGGAGCCTGGGCTGTCAGCCTACAGCTGGCCAAGGGTGGCGAAAATGGTGCTCTAACCTGGGTTCTTGTTAAGGGATTAAATTTAAGTTATCATAATAGGGATCTATAGTAAATGATATGGTTTCCTTATTATGTTGACTTAAACTAAGTTCCTCAACAAGAACCCACTAACAAAATGAACAATCTCGACCCCATTGGCTAGTGTGTAGTGCTCGGATCAATTAACTTTCGCCTTCTCCCGCTGCATCATGCTCCATTTCGACTGAAGCCTCTACTGGCAGACTTTGTCTCTAAAGGTGTCCTCTGCAGTTTTCTTGTTTGTTCACCGCAGTACTCGGATGTCATGGGCAGTTATAATTGGGGTTCTAATAGGATAACTATGGTTTCATAAGCCAACTAGGGGCACTTATAACTAACCATGGACCTTTCGTCACCAAGGAGCTCACCTCTGGCAACCTGAGTCTTGTGGTGACCATCCCGGAAGTCTGGCACTTGCTGCAAGCTTCACTGCAGTCCGCCAGCAGTCGCTTAGGCCCAGTCCGACAAAAGAAGCTTGATGTCCTAAGCTCGTAAGCCATCCTGATTGACTGGGAAAAATTGAATTAAACGGCCATCCTCACATACCATCCGGCCTCTAGGCTTTCACCACAAGGTATGCAGGACGTCATGGCCGCGTTTGCCCCTGGACCAGGCATCCCTCCGCAGAACGTCCGCCTCAGGGCAGATCGAGGCAGCTCCAACTTCCACTACCAGATCCAACTCCCGGCTTGGGCCCCGGCGTTTTTACGATGCCGCAAGGGTTTATAGAGGACAGTCGTCCCATTGTTCAAGGGTCCGACCCACCCCGCCGACTGAAGCCGAAGTGTCCGACAGTCTGTTCATCCTTGTGATGCTGATGTGTTTTGATGCCCATGATGTGGGCATCGTTTGTCCCTGCATTCGCCCTTGTATCCCAGATGTCCGTGGACTGTCTTCGGGCCGGCATGTCTGGCTTCCTACATTACTAGAATATAGGGGCCATAATAATTACCATTACTATTTTGGTGGCGCCTTATTATAATGGGCTCCAAAACCCCATAATACTGAGACCGAGCTTGACAAAGCAAGGCTGACTTCGTGAAGAGCGAGGCGGATATCAGTCAAAGGCAGCTCTTTCCGCAAATCCAGTGCTGTTTCTGTTTCATGGTCCTGATGGTATGGATGATGAGGATGCTGGTGATTCTGGTGAGGATCATGAAAATGACGGTGAGGGCTTGCACAATGACGACGTAGCGCAGCAGACGTAGCACAGAGGAGCCGAGGATGCTGCTGCTGTGACTGTAGATATGCTCGTCTCAAGAGGCACTGCTCCTGTTTCAGGGTCGCATGCTTAAAGTAGTATGTGATGTTTCGACAACATCATGTGGCTGCGCTACAAATCATCCTCACTTGTCATGGAACTTCAGTAGCACGGCACTCCCACCAAAGAATCTTTCCATGAGAATATGCGAGGCATTACTAAAAGGACATCATGATGACGTTGGCATGATACACCATCGGTGCACTCCGGTGGACATGTTGCACCTCACTTGCCTTCTCGTGTCGTTTGTGCATTCATCGTCGCGCGTCAGTTGTCTAGTGCGATACCACACTGGTGGCATCAGCCTTGGTATCTTCACAGCATCATTGGTCTTCTGATCTTTCCTCGGATTTTTGATCCGCATACAGAAGGGGAAAGCCGGGGTAGTGCGACTGCTCTCAGGGACGCAGGTCCCTGGGCCTCGATAGATCTGATCTCCGATCCGCAGACCGAAGGATGGCGGAGGTTGCCGACCAGACCACGAAAGAGCTGAACGAGGCAGATGCGCACTTTCGCAGCTTTAGCCTCTTTGAACCAATACTGTCGGACAGCCGGGCCAGCCTTGGGAGCGGGCAGGCGGTGCGTGCTGGTGAGTTTGGCAACCTGACCTTCGAGGTGGTGGATGCTTGGCTGACCAGCCTTTCTGGAGTCTTCACCTCTCTGCTTCTCTCCTGTGCCCGGCTATCATGCTCGGATCGCCGAAGTAGCTGTTTCGGAAAGATCACTGAAGCTGAGGGAACGACCGTTTCCTGGGAGATGCAGAACAAAATGAGACAGGCTGGGTTTGACGTTGGGTGATGACAAGGGCCTGTTAGCCAAACCGCCGTGTCCCTCAAGGTGGCCGGCGCTGTCTCCAGCTCGCCTGCCATCTGGCCGATGCAGTAATGGTCGGCCTAGTAATAGGGTAGGTATCCTCTAACTTTGTTTGGGGTACCATGACCCTTATACAACCCCGATATAATTTCAAAGGTTAACCTTTAGTTCCCCAGGAGACTGGACAAGTTGGTAGCAGCAACCAGCTCTCCGTAGCTTCGAGAGTCGCGGAGATAAGGCTCCGGCACGCCCTCTGGATGTAATCAGCCGCTTGGCGATCTCGGAGAATATCTGGAAGCCCAATAGGAGTGACTGAGATCAGGCTGTGATGGGCTAGGTGGCACTTCGGGAAACTGTTTAGTTTCCCTTTTGGTTCCTATATAGTTGTAGGTACCTGGTACCTATTCGTAGATACTTTTACGGGCCCCGTGACTACAGCCCATGAGGAGGGTCGACAGTCCATGCAAGGCGCAGCTCACAGACTGTGGCAACAGTGGTGTCTATGCCTCGTCGGCGTGATTTTGGTTCAACCGTAGCTTGTTTTCCCATTGCCCTGCGGGCGACGAGTGGGCGGGAAGAGTATCTACTGTAGCTGTCTGTCAGCTCGTAAAGAGACAAGAGACAGTTTGTGTCTTAGCCAGACTACGACGATCGAAATCTGCATTGGAACGGCGCACGCAGTGCTTGCCACACCCGGTCCCGTCCTGGTGTGGCCACGATTCACAAGAGATGAAGGCTGTCCACGAACAAGCCACCTGCGCTTGCCACAGCCTCACAGACTCTATAGACTCAGAATTCGGCGAGAATTCGCAGGTGAGGTGTGGGTAGCTGACAGCTCACTGCTACGCGATGGCGCAGGCTTTCATTTACCGAACAGAGGGGTCCAGGCACTTCTTTTCCCGCGTTTGGGTCCCTCAGTGACGTTGGAGTTTTGGACAGCACGAGGCTGCTGTTGCATCTACTTATAGACCTTGGTATAGTCTCCGTTGTAGTTCCTCTTTTGGGGCTAGCTCATAGGATCCTGGAGATGGAATAGGTTCAACCAAGAAAAGGGACCACAACGGAGACTATCGGTACTCTGCTTTCCGGTTGAGGCTGCAAGAGATGGCATCAGTGTACAGATGCGGGGAGCGAATTAGGTTGATGCAAGCTCCGAAGGAGTTTACGTTATTTGGGCTGACCACCGGCCCGAATGGGATCAATCGGACACCCGAAAGATGTGGCGGTGGACCATCCCCGCAACACGGCACGGCCGGTCGTCAGGTCAGATCAAACTCTGCCCCGACTTTCTGGATTTTGCGTTTTTCGCTTAATCCCGCTGCTCTGCGTGGCATAGGTCTGCCATACTCATTGTTATAGTATAATGCCATACCATGCTCCCCTATACTATGCTGCACTGCATTTACTGTACCATACCATGCCACGTCATACCATGCCATGCTCCGCTCTACTGTGCTATCCTTTGCTGGGCTGCGAGGACCCGAGCTGCTTCAAACCAGGCAGCGGCCGGAGGCTTGGGGTCCCTGAGTGCCCAAGCGCTGAGTCAGCGGGACTCGAAGTTTTCGCCGGAATGCCGATTTTAGCCTTACCCTCCATTTGGGCCCCTTAAGCTCTAAACTCGATAAACCCGAGGCCCTGATCTCTGAACCCTGAACCCTAATCTCTAAAGCCTAAACTCCCCGTAGCAAAGCGAGGCGTGCTGATTTAGTGTATGCCCTTTTCTGGGTAGACGCAATTTGGAGAAAGGAGCGTCATTGCTTAAAAAAAAAAACACTAAGCCCTGATCTCGAAGCCATGATCTCTGAACCCTATAGTCTCTAAACCCTAAGCTCATCTAAACTCCATAAGCTGAACCCTAATCTCTAAACCCTAAGCCTAAACTCATCTAAGCTCCATAAGCTATACTTAGAATAAGGTTCCTTTCAAGGGTTCCCTTTTAAAGGGGTCTATAACCCTGAGGATCATAAGCCCGAGTCGTGCTCGCCCTGCAGTTGGGAGTTCTGCTGCGACCCTTTCACCTCCGGACGTGCTGGAAATCAGGCCCGGGCTCCAAGAATCCCTATCTGCTGTGCCAAAACTTTGTAGTAATAATAATGTGAATATATCTGTGTACATATATATACATGTATATAATATTTTTATAAGAAAAATATAGTTATATTACAAATATAAATAAATATATACATGTGTATATATATATATACAGATATACATATATATTGTGTGTATATATATATATATATATATGATGTGATATGACCTACATATTTTATACTGCATGGTATATCCCATGTAACAGAGATCATTGTATGGTACAAGCCTACTCAACATCATACTTTACGATTTACATAGCTCGAGTCGTGCATCATATGGGGGCCTTAATAATCACCTATACTATTTTGGGGGGTCCGTAATTCATTTATAGTATAATGGGCCCCAAAACCTTATTCTAATTATTAAGGCCCCTATAGTACTCAGATTCTCTGAAACTCGAGGAGTGCTGGCTCTCCTTGGCTATCGAAGAGCAAGGGCCTCGAATCCAGGAGGCGCTGGTGATGCCACGGCAGTTTTTATAGGGTTGAGCAGACAAGACTTCGAGAACATAGATGCTAACTGTTTCTGCGCTTCGGTCCTTCCAGTGGTAGCTAAGCCCAGCAAGGGCTGTAGCCAGGTAGCAGAAAAAATCATCGCGCTCCAGCATGGCAAGCAACGGCCAGGTGGACTTGGACGCTATGTACGTCCGCTGCTGCCACGCCGGCTCGGGTCGGAGCCGGTGAAGTGCGGCATGCGATGATCGGTGGAAAAACGGGTGAAGTGCTACCAGTGGCCTTCCCGCTATATTGATCATGCCGCTGCACGGGAGCGGGTAGTGTAGAGATTGAAGCCCGTGGAACCCCTAAATCCTCTTGTTTGTCACAGGCTGACCTGACCCTGCCCAAAGTGGCAGCTGTCCTTTTCGATGAGCCTGACGCCCATCTTTCCTCCGGTTTGCATTGTTTCCGGGTCAAGGGCAAGACCGGTGCATGCGAAAAGCACAAGCCCACAGAACCCCTCCACAGACACAGCACAGTACAGCATAGTGAAGTATAGCCACGGTGCCGTAGAGCAGAGTAGAGTAGCATAGAATAGAGTCTAGCAGAGCATAGTAGAGTAGAATATGGGGGTTTCCGAAAATAGGGGACCCTAGTATAGTACCCTAAATAGGATCCTTATTATAAGGACCCCAAAATATGGGACACCTAAGTTTCGGAAACTCCCATATACAGCCCCCAAAAATTTTCAGCAGCCCGAGGCCTGACGACGTCTTGCTTCACCTTGCATATACCCCAAACCCCTACCTGTAGCCGAAAAGACCTACCTTTTTAGGGTTCCTTTTTATGGTTTCTGTATAGAGCTCCGTAAAAAGGTAGGTCTTTTCGGGTACAGGTAAACCCTAAACCCCTGAAGCCCTCAACCTCTGAACCTCTGAACCCCTGAAGCCCTAAACCCTTCAATCCTAAACCCCTGAACCCTTAAACCCTAAACCCCTAAGCCCCTGGAGCCCTGAACCCCTAAACCCCTAAAACCCTTGGCCCTCTTATAGAACCTTTATAGATCCCGTTTGAGGAGCCCTTTAAGGGATCCTTTAAGAAATCCGAGTTGCTAAGTCCCATGATCCTTTCAGTAAACTAAACACCTCCCTTTAAAGGAGCCCGTTAAGGAATCCTAGTTGCTAAGTCCCATGATCCTTTAAGTAACTCTAAAACCCTTCTAGAACCCTTATAGATCCCTTTTTAAAGCCTACCGTAGGCCTTCGCCCACCCAGGTTCCATGAGCGAAGCCTTGGCAACGACCTTGCCTTGGCCCTGTGCCTGCACGCGCGGGATGCAAGGCCAAGGCTTTTGGGGGGCTTAGGGTCATGTAGGGGTTTGGGGTTATGTAGGGTTTAGTTAGGGTTTATTGGGGTTCGGGGTCGTGCAGGGTTTTGGGGCTTAGGGTTCTTGTGGCAGGATTGTTGGAACGGGATCCTTATGTGCGGCTGTCAAGGGCAGTAGCATCAGCAGCAGTATCTGCATCCTGACAAGTATTCATTGGTTGGTTCTGGACGTTCTGTTCTGGATATTGTGTTCTGTTAATCAATATATCCATCAAGAGTCCGGGCGCAGAAGACCCTCGCCAGTATGGCCACTGACGCTCCTCAATTCTCTCACCCTTGCGCATGAAGACTACCGCAAGCATCCTAAGCCTAAGCGACTCTTCTTACCCTTCCGAGCCCTACGCTCTCAAGAGAACTCAGAAACCTTCCCATACACTTCAAAGTTGACAGGCGGCGCGCAGATCTCCCTCCACTTCGTCTGCTGGCCATGAGCGCCACGCTGAGCCCACGCCTGGCTGAGAGGCCGAGAGAGCTGCTCATTTTCCTGGTCTTCCAGGGTTTTTACGGTTCTGCCCATTGCTGTTCCCCTCCCTTTCTGCTGAACCGATAAACCCTAAACCCCCGCAGGAAAGAAATCCTAAACCCTAAACCCCAAAATCCCACAACCTAACATCAGCAAAACAGCCCAAACCCTAAGCCCCAAAACCCCAAACCCCAAACCTTCCGACTTCCCGATGTCTCTCTCTCCGTTCCTTCGCTGTGGCGAGTTTGGCCCAACGCCTCGGTTCCAGCGAGCCGGCGCCGATCCTGCGCAGCGAGGGCAAGCAGCCGGCGTCCGAGGGGAGCGGTTAGGATCCCCCCAGGTACCCTTTTAAAGGGCTCTACTATTTCGGATTATGAAGTATAATTAGGGAGGACTATAAAAAGGGTATTTGGGGGGTCTAGGGAGGCTTCAGGGTTTCCGTCTCTCTTTTGGCCGCATTGGGCCGCAACACGCCCTTCGGAAGAGCATCCCCACAGGGTCCCCCTCCACAGGGGCCCCTTCTCGACCCTGTTGTTTTCAAGGGAGGTTTAGGATATGAGTTCGGGGTTTCGGTTCGGGCGTCGTATCCCGGGATTGGGGTTACGGAGTTTGGGGTTAGAGGAAAAAGAGGCAGAGACGCCATGATTTGGATGAGGATCTCGTAGAGAAAGTAGGGTTTCATGAGGGGGTGTTGGCGATGTAGTTTCTTACGACGGATTTGTGGGCATTCTCGCAGATTTTTTCCCCAAACAGGACAGTGACATGCATGCTATGGGGCTCTTATGTTGGGAGCACAGAGAAGTTGTTATGGTGTTGGCGCCCCCGGAATATTCCGCGCTGTCGCTGGGGAGGCGCATGCTTGGCTCATGTCCCATTATTGACACTCCCGTTACGGTCACGTCCTCCAGAGTTTCCGGTTCATTCTGAGATCCATTCGTTGGTCTTATTTTGGCTTCGAAACTCTTGATGCCTGCCTGCCACTGCATTAGGCCTCATTAGGCGAAGCATGCCAGTATGTGTGTCGTTGTTTATGTTGTGCAGGAGCATACATACGTGTTTACTTCGCATTGACAATTGATGGGTTCTGTATAAAAGCCGAAAGGAACCGGCTCACATCGACCTACACGTGCATGTGCCCGCGTGTCCGTGCGCGATCCGTGTTTCCTGCATGTCGATACATGTTGGATCTCTCTTGTTTAGGTTCGACGTGGAGTTGCGCTACACCGGCAGAGATCGACGACTGCTTCGCGCAACGCAAGGTTTCGAAAAGAAGGCAGGATTGGATAATTGGAACCCTTTGATTCAGTCTGAATCTCGGCTTTGCGGTGCTTTTGGGGGAAATCATGGTACGAACAGGTCTGGTAGTCCGGGTAGTGGTGGCCTCGATGTTTCTTACGAAGACGAAGCAGGATTTAGATTCTACTTTCGCCCAAGATCTGGCTTTTAACAGGCGCAACCATAAACCCTAGACCCGTATCGTTGGCGTTGTCGCATTGCCATCATCGCACTCGCAGGGCTTGCCGTAGTAGTATAAAACGTAGCGCACTAAAGTAAGTATGGTATTGTATAGTTTCGCATAGTATAGATATGTTGCTATAATATGTCATATTAAAGAACATAATATAGTACATTTTTTTATAACATAATATTTTTACACACAATACCTACATATATGATTACAGATTCCATGTATACAGAGTTAGTGCAGTGTAGCGGCGAGTCCAGGCCGACATGGCTGCAGCTGTCACCGAGTCTACCTTCGAGGCTCGACATCCATCTTTAACATAGACGTCTGTGTATGATTATACTGTACTAATATACCCTAAGGTTTCTTGAAAGGGTGTTTCGGGTTACTGACATGATGGATTAGATGTATTAGACAAGTTATACAAGTTTAATTCATTCACGTCCCGGCAAAATGAGTAATCCAGTTGGCATCTGAGTTATACTTCAATGCACCGCAAAGCCCTACTCTAATCAGGAAGGCCCCTGTATTACATATACTTGTACACCCAATGCGGATCTATGACCCATTGCAGATGTTGAACGAAGCACACCTTACGGCGACAGGCTGTTTGGCAGGCAGTCGATCCAGGTTTCATTGGCAACTGACAGAGATTTCAGGGTTTTGCGGAGGTCGAGTTTAGGATGTACTATGGCTAGGGAATGTAAGGATGGTTGAGATAAGGGTGTTGGGGGTCAGCTCCATGAAATCCCTGGTACAGCTCGACCTTCAAACAGTGGTGCAATCTTCGCTTCCGACCAGAGCTGCATTTTCCGTTCAGGCATTGCGATGGAGCAGCGAAGAGTCAGGCGCACCAGGAGCAGAGCGGAGAGCTTTGGGTATATACTAATACAATATAATAATAAGATAATACAATAATATAGCAATAAAACAATACTATAAATATACTAATAATATAGTAGTATAGTAATGGGAGTTTGGGAGCCGTGAGAAGCCTCGAGGCCCCAGGCTTAAAAGCGTAAGCAGCGAGCCGACGCTGACGAAGTCTCCGGAGACCTCAGCTAAGGTTCCTTGCTGCGCTTAGGCTCTGAAGTGTATCCTGAATCGGGAGAACCTGGCAGGAGACGTCCTGTGCTTCCTGCCGGGAGAGCCGGAGCCACTCCGTCCTGTTTGTTAGCTTTCTGGAAAGCTTCAAGAGATTATGGAGATATCGGGAGCCACCCAAGGCTTGCCACAAGCATGATTTGGAGTTAATTCACATGACAACCATGTCAGGATCCGCCGATGTAAGAAGCACCTGGAGGCCGAAGCCCAACAGGGAGTGCTGAGCTTGCCGTGCATTCTTCTCTACTCAGATCCGTTTCAGTCTCGGGGGACAGGACTTAGCCAGTGAGTCAGTGCCAGCACAGAAAATACTTGAAAATTCAGACTTGTGTCTGCTTCTGTCCAGTTTTGTGATATTTGCTGGTTCCGCCCGACTCCCGGATCCAGCATCTCAGCTCCGAGAATCTTTTGCAAAGGTTTCCCAACCCGCGAATCCAAGCAAGTTGTTGCTCCTGATGCATTCTTCCACCGAAAAATCTGCACAGATGTATTTGTTTTATCCATATAGCAACATGCATGAATCTAAGAATTTAGATTTTGTCATAGTTGTCATAGTTAGGTGGATTAGGTGTTGACATACACATACGAAGGCACGTAGATAAACGATGTGCATACCAATCTGAGAGATTACTCCAAAGTTGTTTCTTTTTGGGGGTTACCTTATAGGATTCTCAATATGAATCCTAAATAGGATGAACTACTATGGAGCCTTAGGGTACAGCAGCTCGATGTGTCCATGGAAGGACCGGCTGGCTGCAGAGCAGCAGCGTGCCAAGTCCAAGGCCGACGCCCAAGGAGAATGTGGGAGTTTCCGAAAACAAGGGACCCTAATCTAGTACCCTAACTAGTAGGATCCTTAATATAAGGACCCCAAAATAAGGTACCCCCCTAATTTTCGGAAACTCCCATGTCAGTTTCGGTTTCATGTTGGGCCCTGGAGCAAGGTGGTTGCTTGCATTGGGCGTCTACACATCCGAAGGGGTCATGCTGATACGGATCTTCCCGGATCGGTTGCATGTATTTTCCCGCAACGTATGAACCCTCTCCCCGATTCTGCCTGGTCGATTGCATGCAGTGGAAGTGTGCGGCTTTCGCTGGAGGGACACCGTCAGCTGCATGGCGAGGTCAAGAAAAAGCGACAGCAAGGAGCAGCTCGTGGTTTTGGAGCCCCTCCAAAGGCGATGCAGTCTTGCACGGCGTTGCTTGGTGCCAGTTCGGTTTGGATCTGGGCAGTTTATGACGTGAAATCGCAGAAACGCCTAGCCGACATCTCTCGGAGCTCGGAGCTTTTCACCGCATTGCAGAGCCTTGATGCTGAGCAAGGAGGAACCCTAAACCCTAAACTTGTCGATGGCAGAGCAGGCAGTCGAACCCCAAACTCTCACGGCTGAGCCTTGGTTAAAGATCATAAGGGTTACAGGGGTTCTATAAGGATTATAGTAGCCCCTAACCCCTTAATAGAACCCTTTAAAAGGAACCCTATTCTAATTACTAAGGGCCTTATAAGGGTTTAGGGCACGAAGCCTGCGAGAAAGAGGCTCCAAGTGCCGCGGAGGTCTCCTTGCCCGGGGCTCGGAAAGCCTGGCCACAAGTCCCCGGTACTTCGTGGGGAATGGGGGAAGGGATTATGGGGAGTATTCTTGGGAGTTATATAGGGACTACTGTAGGGATACATCCCCCCATTCCCTACTCAGAAGGGATTGTGGGGACTACTATAGGGATCCATTCCCCCATTCCCTACTAAGAACCAGACAGAAGTGTCGGTCGCCTGTCCTGCCCGCGCGGAGCTTTCCAGGGATGCCAGGCTCAGTCCTCGCGTCGTTCCTTTGGGTGCGGACCGTTACGCAGAGTGTGCTTTAGTATAGTGGATATCTCCGGTGCTCCTCTGAACGTCGGCAGTTCGACTAGAGCGCATCGTCGAGCTTGTCATGCCAGGGCCAACCCGATCGATGTTCTCCCCCTCCACGGAGCCCTGGATGGCGAGGCACAGTGCATCAGTGCATGAGTCGACATTGGCTGCTTGTGCTTTGGTGCAGCGCGTAGTGTTTCTGTGCAGCACGCCACTGTTTGGTGGACCTTCAGGCAGCGTTTGACTCTAATTAGGCTGTCACGCACAAGACTGTCAGTACGATAGGCAAATGCGACGAAGGTCTGCCCTCATCCATGTTGGCTTTTCGCGTCATCCGAAACTTTTTCTGATGCTTAGTAGGAAATGCAGGAATGGATCCATACAGTAGCCCCTATATAGTCCCCAACAAAAGTCCCCATAACCCCTTCCCCCATTCCCTACTACCCTAAGGCTCCATGGTAGTTCTTTTTTAGGGCTCATATTTAAAATCCTAGAAGGTAGCCCCAAAAATTTGGAGCCTCTGGGTAAGCACCAGACAGACTTGGATGCGCATCGCTTAAACCCTAAACCCTAAACACCCCTAAAGGCTCAAGATCTGGCTGTCCGCGCTGGACAGCCTGGCAGGCTGGGCTCTGTAATCAAAGGGGAAAAGGAGGGACCCTTAATGGGGACCCCTACCCTATAATGGGCTATATAATGGGTATATAAAAGCTATATTAAGGAACTCAGAAGTAGGGATGACGTTATTTATAGGGGGCTTAATGAGTACCTAGACTATTTTGGGGGGCTGTTATTCTATAAATATAGTATCATGGGCCCCAACACCCTATTCTACTTATTCAGGCCCCTGTACTAGAGTAGTGTGCATCGGGACACGCTGTGGCGACTGTTGACCGTTTAGGTCGGGCACAAACGACAGGACCCGGCCAGGTTTCTGTATGGTGACTGGCGCCCGGTAAAGACTGAACGACCCCGGCAGGCGACGCCTGATACTGGCCACCAATGTGGCTGAGGCTTCGATTACGGTGCAAGGTCTGCGGCCGAGATGAGTGTGAAGGTGCTGCGACCTAAGATGCACGTCGGAGCTGTCATTTTCGGCTCTATAGATTGTTTTGTGGTTTAGGTACAGTGCAAGGTTGAACATGTGGAGTCATCATATTATTTCATGTTCATGTCTGTTGTCAAAGATCTGGTGCAAAATTCTCCAGGCGTCACTGCTGTGGTGGATACGGGCTTGCGGAAGAGGCTCACGATCGGCCTGTGTTCTTTTACGCGGAAGTGACACAGCTAGCAGCTGCCGGGCTTTTGCGCTTCGTTGCACGGGGCTGTCTAATATTGTACCCGTTGCAGACACTACGATGCTCCCTTTTGAGCTAACCGTGGAGGTCAGTCTTTGACCGTGCACGGGGCCTGAACAAGTTGGAGATGGCAAGTGCCTCAGCGCTGGTAGGTTGTCGCTTTGCAGGGAACTGCCAAAAAAAGCGGAAGGCGGAAGGCTCTCTATGAAGCGCTTGCAGAAAAGTTCCTGCTTGACTCGAAACCGCTCGTTTGTCAGCGATTTGGGCTGAAGATCCTTCAACACTCTTAAGAGCGACGTCATGGCGGGCAAGGGCCTCCTTTCCAACATTGGCATTTGGGTGTCTTGGCCTGGCTCTCGTACCAGCTTTTGATAACTCCAGGGCCCTTTATTTCCGTTTTCACGGTTGGCAGTGGGGGGGGGGTGTCTGTAGAACTCCCACTCGGAGGTGGCTGTCACGCTGGCGACATGGGCGATCTGCTGGCTGGTGGCTGCGCCAGTAAACTGCCACGAAGTGCCTGCATGCGCTAAGCACTTGCAGAGTTACCCCGGGTACTACCACGTCATCTCTGCGGCAGCATTGGTGGCCATGCTGGGCCACGAGGTATTGAGCCTCATCGCCACGTATATGGGAGCCCAAGAGACACAAGCCTTGGTGCCCCACCTCCAGAGCCGCTTTTTGCCCACCCTGCTGCTGGCAGTGATGTTTGGCGTGCTTGCGACGGCCGAGCGCCTCTTCTCTCGTGCTGAGTGGACCGTCGCCCATGTCATGCCCAGTGCAGACGGCCTCACGACCCCCGGCCGCCCGGTATACACGATGCAGTACATGGAGTGGGGCATCAACGTCCCGATCATGCTGATCCTGTCCGGCTACTGCACGCTCGGGCGACCCTTGTCAGAGGTGTCGAGGCCACTGATCGTCACCAACGTCTACGTGATCTTCTGCTGGGTGGCCACAGCAACTGAGAGTGCCTTCCTCAAGTGGTTTCTTATCGTCGTCTCCTTTGCCATGTATGCCTGGGCCTCTTATGACATGCTGAACTGGTGCTCTGCCTATGAGCGCACAGCTCCCGCAGATTTGCCAAGCCGCGGCCTACGACCCTTCCTGTCTTCTGGCCTCGTTGCGCACCTTTTGCTGTACGGCGTGGTCTACATGGCATCGGTGGTTGGCATCATGGATGCGCACACGGAGCGCAAGTCCTTCTTTGCCTTGACCTTCGGAGCCAAGCTCGCCTACAGCGCGGCCTTCGTCTTCATCCGAGCGGACGAGTATCACAAGACTCTGACTGACGTGCTGCGAAAGGTGAGTGTGAGCAATGTTGGTATGATCAGCATTCTGAGAGGAAGTTTCGACATCATTCTTCCCTGCGTGCTGGATGCAGCCGGCCGCTGCAAGCTGCCCGATAGATACTCGGGCGACATGACGAAGTTGGAGAAGATCTTGGGCTATGGCGTGTCCGGTGCAAATCTCAAGGACCTCTTGGCGGGAGAGGAGCAGAAGAGCGACTTCTCAGCTTACGTCCGGAATGTGGTGCGCCAGGCTGATTGCCCACAGGCCTTCAATGCGGCAACTCTCTCGACGCAGGGAGTGTGGAGCTGTGACTCTGGAGCCATGCCTCCCATTGCTCAGGTGTTGCACAGCAAGATCCAGCAGAAGTCCAAGCAGAAGCTCAACACCACGCTTCACCTCTCCGTCGTGCCGCGCTCCGCACTCAGTTTGGGCAAGGAGAGGCAGCTGGTGGCCGCCTTCCAGATCTCCAGCCCCGAGAGCTTGAACGAGGAGGAGCCTTCTGTAGCCGTGACGAATTTCGAGACCTTCAAGGCCGGCCAAAGCTCTGTGGGCACTACTACCAACCCGAGCAGCGAAGAGGGCTCATCCCATGGCATTGTTGCTAACCTCGCGGACCTCACGAAGCTCGGGGCATCGGCGATGCTTGGAAACACCGAGGAGTTCACCGACGAGGCCAGCAACTACTTCGGCCACACACTGACCTCTGATGAGACTTGCCTGATTCTGTGAGAGATGTATAATGAGTATAATGATGTATAGGTATAAGAAGAGTGTGTCGCTCTCTGAAGGACTCCGATGTACGTCCATGTTGCAAGCCTGCCTAACATGCCTAACCCAGAAAACTTGCAAGGTTCGCCCGCTCCCAGTCTCTGTCATAGGCAGCTGCCCAGCCAAGGAGACCATGTCGCATTTGGGCGCCTTTGCACAGCAACAGGTGGCCGTGGGTGCCGTGGCGTTCGACGCCCGCATCGTGGGTGTTTGGGAAGGCAACGTTGCCAAGGCCTTGGGTGGCTATCGCCAGCGTATCGAGTTCCTCAACGATTGCTTGCATGCGAACGTCACCGTCATGGGGCAGACTCTCTCAGCTGTCTTCCGCATGGATGCGTCCAAGGGCCATCTGGAGATTGAAGTGCTCCCAAGCGGAAGCAGCTGCCCGCCCCCGGCTATCCCCTACCTCTTCAAGTTCCAGGACGGCAACTTGCACCTCTGTGGCCCGGGCACCTCCAGCTTGAAGCGACCGCAAGGCTTCGATGGCCCCGGGCTTTGCATCATGGAGCGCGTGCAGAAGTTCGTGGAGCCCGTGGCGCCGCGCCCGCAGCGCTCCTTCGCCCCCGAGCTGGAGCCTGACCCGGAGTTCAGCCGCCACACCACCGAAGAGACGAAATCTCAGGCCTCGATGCGCTCTGCTACACGCTCCACACGTCTCAAGGAGGAGCTGAACCAACTGGGACAGGGCCAGATTCCAAAGGCCTACAGTCCGAAGATCTTCAGCTGGATCGAAGAACAGCCCGCAGTGGCCGCTTCTGCTTTGGTCGCCATGACTAGTGCTGTCATCGCACTGCGCAAGTCCCTCTGAGCCTGCATGGTGCCATGAAGGCAACGCCCAAGTTCCAGTTCCAGAGGGTGAGCCCGGGAGCACCATTCCGATTCTCGTTCCTATACTATTATTGTGATTATTGCTGGTATCAGTATCATATATTTACATTTTTTGTATTGTAGATTATATTCCGGCTCAATTCCTCTTGCCACAGAGCTTGCTCAAGATCTGCTGCGATCGTCTTGGAACTTTAGATGACTAAAGTGGACTTGACAATGTGTCCGCAGGCAGCGGGTCTTGCTCAGGCCTTGTGCTGTTCTCATGCTAAGGGCTAGCCAAGCTTCAGTTTACATGTACCTTTACACCATCTGAATAGCTCCTGTGTGCATCTTGCTACTGCGTTCTTTGGTGCTTTGTCTGAAGGCATGGCCAGCCGAAAGTACCCTCGAGTCGTTTCATGCGACCGTCGATGCAAGCTGCACCTGTGCAACATGCAGATGTTCTGTGACGAAGCCTCTGGTGTTGCGGTTGGCCGCATCACCCGAAGACATCACAGGGCTGTTCCACTTCTAGTTCCTGGGCACACAGAGAGTGTGACACGCAATGCACACCAGCCCAGAGGACTCATGTTTCAAGTTTTATAAGGACTGCACTTGCCAGTAATCACGAGGCTTCGGGTATGTCTGGCCATTTCCATTACACTTTTAAGAACTCTAGGCTCCACGTTCGGCAAAGGCATCCCCGCAGACTTATTTCAACACAAGTGTGCAACCTTATCCGCTGGATTTTCCGATCCGTGTCTCACTGCCGACCCGTTTCAAGAATTCCTTCAGGCCGTGTGGGCACAAGGATGAGTGTAGCAACCACGAGGGGACCTATCTGTCCTGTCGGGATCATGTGGCACTGCATCCTGTCGGTCAATCCGGATCTGCCGCCCATCAGTCGAAAAGTTACCGACGAAGCGGAGGGTCGGTACATTGTCGTCTGAGCATTGTACGTTGCGGAGGGAGTGCATCCGCCCTATGAGGCCGCGGTGTCCGCTGCCTCTGCTGACCAGCGCAGAGGTCGTGCAGGCCCCCCGGGGTAAGCGAAGGTGATGGGGGCAAGAGTGTGCATGGGCTCAAAGAAGGATCCGGCCCAAATCTCGTGGGAGATGCCTATAGGGCCGAGAGATTGAGGTTACATAGTCGGGTCACCTCGACACCTCTTGTGGGCACCTGTCACCTTCAAGGACGCCTTCGGCCAGGCCTCTGTCAGCACCTGAGCTGGACCTGAAGTGGTGTTGCGTCTGCTTGGTGGATTCGTGCGAGTTTCCTCAGGCCTTCGTCTTTGGAGTGCCGACGAGAAGCTGCAAGAGGAGGATGCAAGATCCCCAGCACGGCAAAGTGTCGGAAGACTCTTCTCCTCTTCTTTGCCGCAAGGCTCCTGCCGTTGTAGAGGAGGACCTCACAGGCACAATCTTATCTCTGGCAGCTTCTGGTGCCGGGGCCTGAGATCCCCCTCTCAGGGCTCTGGGCGACTTTGCGAAAAAAGGCGCCTGCGCACGGTGTTGCCATTCCTCTGGCTTCCTTCTGGTATTCATAATGTGAATTTAATTGCCCAAAGCCACATTCCAATCGCTTAGGCGGCTGCTTTTTTGGGGCCCTAATTGTTTACCAATCATTGCTATTTAGCTGGTTCCATATACAAGTACAGTATAATGGACCCGAAAAGCCCTATTCTGATTACTAAGGCCCCTTTTGTAGTCCGGCTTTTTCTTTGGGCTTCGAGCAAAGCTCAGGTGCCTCCTGGCTCGGTGCAATCCTTGCCTTGGCTGGCTGGGAGCTGTGATGCCGAAGGCACTTCTCGGAGGACCGCAGAGAAGTTTAGCTTAGGACCCGCCGCCACAGAAATCTTTGGACCACGCCGTTGAGGCCTGCATGTGGGTTTGTTGACGACTGGGGCTGGCTGTCTTCTGCATCAAACCCGGGCGAGTGAAGGAGTTCACAAACAATCGTGGACACGCGTCCTGCTTTGAGAGCTTGAGATTCTCCCAGCACAGGTGCTGACGCTGCTGGGAGCCTTTGAAAACAAAGAGGAGAGGCTGCACGAGGAACTGTATACCCTACACTTAGACCCTGAATCCCTAACCCCTGACGCCCTTGAACCACAAACCCTGAACCCCTAAAGCTACCCATGGAAAGTTGCTCAAGGGTTTTCATTGCAGGGTCCGGCCTGGTCGGACGAAAACAGAGTCACAGAGGTGTTTCTGTTCGTGTTCCCGCAGAGACCTGCTGGGCTGTGTTGTTGCCGGGCTGCCGTGATGTCGCAGTATCATAACATGATACTAATTAAGAATCATAACATTTGCAGTATACAATATGTAATTCAATTATAATTTACTGACAATGACAATAAGAATAACAGCAAATTAAAGTAACAATACAACAGGGGTCTAAAAATTACCAATACTAGTTTGGGGGTTCCTTATTATAATCACAGTATAATGGGCCCCGAAACCCTATTCTAATTATCAAGCTTGTTGTGCCTTTTTGACGCAAGGATTCCTTGGTGCTCTCGCCTCACGGCCGTGCCATGGCCAGGTCGATGAGCGCGTGTCCTTTTTTGGTGAGTCGTAGGAAACCCTAAGGGTGCAAAGGACCCAATACTCACGTACTCGGATTTAGGATAGTAGTTCTGTAGGTTAGGATTTCGGAGAGTACATGATTATTAGGCATTATTAGGTACTTGGACCCTTCGGGAAAGGTTGAGTGGCCATTAGGCGCGAAACTTCGAGGTGCTGACATGATACACCCTGTGTCTTCTTTGGTTTATGGAAAACCACACAGGGCTTTGGTTCTTGGAGCTTCCTGCAACATGTGGGTGGCTGTCAAAATTATGGTCCCTTTTTGGGTACCCTAAATATTCGGTGCCGTATTACAATAAGGACCCAAAAGGGACCCTAATTTTGACAACCATGCATGTGTGTCCGTGCAGCTGAAAGAGTTGAGCAGGCTGCCTTTGCATCCGCGCCTGGCCCATCTCGCTTTGAAAGCGCCCACCATTCAGGACCTCATGCTGGTCTGGTCTTACTGCTGTGCGGCTATGCACGGCAGAGAGCACTAGTGCACGGATACCATAGTAATCCTTGGGGTACGGTTGATGATATAAAAGTCCTGCATTACCCATAATACGGAATATGCCATAATTCCCATACTGTAGGGTCCTTAAGGTAATGCAGGATTTACATCATCAGCTGAATTTGCGGCAGGACGATGGCACCGAAGATGCCGACTCTACCGTTGCAGAGCTCTGTGCCCTGCTCGAACAGGCAGATCACTTACCTTTGGTTAGTAGGGAAGGGAGGAATGGGGTACAATTATAACTACTATTACTACCATTCTTCCATTTTCTAGTAACGAAAGGCAAGATCACCTGCATGGCAAGTCCTGCGCAGACGGCCCTTTCAAAGGGTTGGGATCGCAATGGCCGAATGTTTCCTTGGAGTATACTTCATACACACGGTTCGTCGCAATGCTGCATAACTGCCTTCCTCGGTACATCCAGATATCTAGCAGGAGGTCAAATCAAGGCAGGATCTCACTTCCATCTGTCTGCAGGAGAGAGACACATTGCAGCTACAGGAGGGGCTCGCGTTTCACACAGAACCATGAGACTCGAAACTGTAGATCTGCGCTCTTCGGTCTTCTCTGCCGGCTCTGTGTAATGCCTGACCGTCTGGCTGTTGTGCGTGCTACCAGTGTGCTGCAGATCGGGATCACGATCTTTCCATGCCTGGTCGATCGCTAGACTACGGAAAACGGCCGTGTCACACTACTTGGGGCGATGTTCTGCTGGTAGGAGCGTGGCGCCAAAGTCAGCGCTGCGCCTCGCTGTGCCGATGCACGCGTCAGGCCTTCTGTGCACTGGTTGAGGGCTACCCGTCGCGTGCACATTCATGTCGATGTCATTGCAGGCTGCTTGCTCTCAAGACGAGAGCACTTCCTGATCGTCGGATCCTTGGGTTGCTTGTGCCGACAACTTCGACACAGCCAGCAATGTGCGCAAGCTTGGCAAGGAGGTCTGTAGGACGGACAGAGACTATGCTACTAATATACTAATATACTATTATAATACTGAGCGGTTTGCTTGTGACGTAATTCGGATGCAGGGTGCTTGTGAGATAGTGTGGATGGCATTGAAGCCAAGTCCAGGCTACACGATGGCACAGAGCCGAGGTTTGAAAGGCATCCGTGCGATTCCCGCACAGTGCCAGCAAGTGCCCTTTGGCCTATCAAGCGAGTAAGCTTGCATGTGGTGGAGCTGGTACAGTCCCCAGTATACAATTGCAAAGGGTTAACCAAGTGTGCGATGGTTCCATAGATTCACACCCACACGCGCACGTAAATTCCTTTCTGACAAGCATATCCCCCAGTTTCACCTATCAGCTAAGCTTCGGCCATTTGGGCAAGATACCCGGAACCAGACTGTTTTGTCTGCGCAGTAATTCTGTTTCATTAGTTACGGGATTTTGTACTTGTAATTAAGGTGTTTATGCAAATGTACTGCAACGTAAATACGAAGCCGATGTCTGAACCAAGTGTACTTCTGTGTATAACAGAGTATTCATGCGATGTGCCAATACGATTTCAACAAATGTCGCAACATGGTGCAATGACATTTTCTGCCGTGAGCATCGTGTGGCGGCAAGGCAAGAACTAGGTGGCAATTTGGGAAACTTTTCATTTTCCCCCTTAGTTTTAGGAACCCAGAGAAGTACATTTACCAATGCCATGCAACATGCAGACCAATCCTCGTCTCTTCTCTCTACACAGTGCCGGACCCATGCTTCTACCTTTCCTGGATCTCCATTGGAAAGGCTAGCCTCTCAGCTAGAAGTCCGTAGAATCGACAACTTGACCATATTTGGACATCGGCGGCTGTGTTGATGGAAACAAGCTTCATGCAATAGAATCCGTTTCATAAACGCACAGGTCTGAACTGTAGACTGTGGACGCCGGTCATGGGACAGACGATGGTGCTGATGTTATTCTAATTCGTGGTGGCGCAGTAGTCTGTGTTTGTCGTTCTTTTGCCTCCAGCTTCAGTGTTGCTTTTGATTGTTCGACCCTCCTTGTCCTCGTCCTTGTCCTTGTCGTCTTCATCGTCGTCAGACGGCAGCCTGGCCTGGGAGAAAGAAAATTAGATTGTTATAAGGATGGACGAGCTGGAGGAAGGATTTGTCGGCCAAGAGGAAGGCCCTCCAACAGCATGCCTAGTCTCAGGATCAAGGTCCGGCTTTGTTTGTCAGACAGACAGTGGCATCACCCAGAAGAGTTGCAGGTACTGCAAAGTGCTGCCCAACTTCACAAGGTGCCTGTCCAAGCATCCAAGTAATGCCTGCCTCTGATTTCGTCCGGCTGGCAAGCGACATGATGTGGGAGATATGCGGTGCAATCTCCAGCGAGTTGAACAAGGTTGCAGTTTTCTGCAACGCCTGAAAGTAACAGAGAGGCTTCCATCATGCCTGGCACAACAAACGGACATGCTGTTGTAATGTCTCGCAGCTAATGCAGTCACCGCTGCGTTTGGATAGAGCGTTGTAGACAACAGGTCACAGTAGCAGGAGGACAGGGGAGGACTGGATGACAAGCCATCTTGGCCGGCAGCCTCAATCTTTATCCTCATTCCTCTCACTAGCAGCCAGCATTATCTTCACAGTCATCATCGTCACCGTCATCATCATCACTGCGGGAGCCGTAAGGCCCCCACCTACCAAAAAGGGCTCACAATGGACAGTTGTATTCCGTATGAAGGTACCTCGGGTGGCCTTTAGAGCACTATGACTGTGGGGGGGGCCCAACCTAACCCAAAGCATCACCATCCTTGGCATCATCATCTTCTCCATCCGATTCATCATCATCCACTATCACTGGCATCCTTCCCCCTGACCATCTCGCATGTTTCCACTGGCATTTCGAGGGCATGGCAGAATGCTCGACTTATGCAGGCTGATCCCAGGTCCATCCCCGGAATACTCCTTCGGGTTTCCGATATGACTTGTAGGATAACTCCACAATACTAGCATTCTGAGTGCAGAGTCCCCTCTCGAGCCTGCCGAGGAGCTCCCCTCTGCCACCAAAGCCGTGCGCATTCGGGATCCTGGACCTTTCCTCGCGCTGGCCTACCCGGAAAGGATCGCGAGGCTGGAATCTACTGTATAACAAAAATACTACTGATATTGATAATAAGTAAAGCGAATGAGAACGGCGCAGGAGTTTACAAAGTCATAGCCTTTAGTGCTGAAGCGCCACCAACCGACAAGAATTCTTTTGAGTAGAACGATGCGCTTTTGAAGCTGATGCACGTGATGTGCCATGCTTTGGCAGGCTAGCCGCACCTTCATTGCATTCCCTGCGTTCGCCTTCTTAGTACCTACTGCAATCGTACGTAACTCACTGGATGCCGGATGCCCGCAGCGGAACAAATGGCGAAAGTTGTGCTGACTCTGCCCTCGAGCTACTTTGCAGGCGGGTCAAGAACAACCGGTTCCTGCTTCGTGATGGAACGTCCTGTATTGCCGGCCACCTACATCCCAGTCGCCCAGTAATCGATAAATACTGTATTTCTTGTGTGGCAGCACTTCGTCAAGCGCCTGAGTGCCACAGTCTGAGCTAGGTGAAGGACCCCATCTTGCAGCAACAGGAGCACGGATGCCTGATAATTCCGATGCGCATGAACGGATCTGCCCTTCAGGTTCCTCACAGGTAAACAGCCATCACGATCCTGGGTTTCCCGATGTTGTTTGACCCAAGACGTGGGTAGAGAACGAACTCATTTCCAGGAGTTGCTTGCGGTGGGACGAATGTTCAGAACCAATGCGTGGTCCTCGGCTTCCGGCAGAGCCCTTTCAAGTGGAGGTCCACGTTACAGGTCAGGTGAGACGCTTCAGCCTCTAAATCGTGGGATCGTGCTACTTACCTTCTGGCAACAGGTCGTACAGGCACCTCAAGCTAGATGGCTTGCAGAGGCCTCCGGGCACCTGTCTAGTTCGTTGTCGTTAGGACACTATGCTACTAATGGACAATGTGTTATTGTATACAGTATAACTGTATACATGTATACACTTGTTTTTTTTCATGTATGGTTTGTTATTGTATGTTATATTATCATAAGCAAGACTTGAGGTCGTAACACTGGCGGCGCCACTGACTGCTTCAGAGGCCTTTGGTGCTACCTGCGGTTCGGCATGGTTTCAGGTGCTGTACTGTAGGGGCCTTAACAATTACCTATACTGGGGGTTCCTGATAATGATTATAGTATAATGGGCCCTGTCCCACCGTTTAGTCTTGGTTAATTGTAGGCATGAGAACCTAAGAGGGTTGCTGATGTCAGATATCTGGGGCCTGAATAATGCAAAAAAGCTTCGCGTTTTTTTTTCACACAGGCGACCACCGCGCTTGCGTTAGCTGCATTGATTGAAGGGGCTGGCAGACATGGACTGTTGCGCCGGGCCCTTTCAAACACAGAAGCCGTGGTTCTTTCATGCCATGAAGAGTTCAGGGCTTCACACGGGCTCAATATCCGACGTAGAATAGATGTTGAAGCCTATCAGCTCATTTTTCTGTCACGACTTGATCCTCAACGGCTGGAAGATGACGTAAGCAAAGGACGGTTCAGCGTTTCAGTGCTGTGTTCGCCCTTTGAAGAGTCTCTTCCGCTAGCTGTGTCCAGCCATGGCCACACAACGCGAGCTTTCGCAGCCTGGCTGAGGTAAATGGGATCATGCCTCTGAGCACACAGAAAGAACAACAAGAAAGTACGAGAAAGACAGGAGGAATGAAGTCTGAGACATGAAAGCACAAACAACGCAGATCAAACACACACTACTACAGTAGTAGCTTGTTACGACGGCGCTAGTCATGACCGATGGTGTAGACTCGCAGAGTCTTGAACCCTAAACCCCAAACGAGGCCTGCGTCGGTGGGCTGTGACTTCGCAGCTTCTTCGTGGCCTTCCGATCACAGCGAACCTGAATCTTGGAGGATATCTAAGAGTTTCCGAGGTCCTCTTCAGGGGATCCTTTCTTTTAGGGCTGTTTAGCATTAATTAATGGGGCCCCTCTGTCCCGGCACTCCGCAGCATACCAGGAAGCTTCGTGAATGCAAGTACGTACAACATCTTCACCGCGAGTAGTAGCATCCCTCTTACAAGTAACCCTGACTCCTGACCCCTTATAAGAACCTTCCATTAAGGACTTGCAATACGCACAATCAGACACCAGCACCGACGAGGGAGAGACCGCCGTGATGAGGCGCCTCGTCACAGTGTCGTCAGATGGGGGTTTCAGAAAATCACTTAGACTTCATTCGGGGGCTCCTACCTTTGATGCTCGTATTCAGGGGTCCTTACGGTTAATATTGGGATCCACCAGAAAGCCCTAAATACCTGAAACCTTAATTACTTCTATAGGGCCCCAATAAAGCGCATAAGCAAAACTTGGGATAGCGATATCCCATCTAAACCCCTTAAAAATGAAGCCCAATAAGCTAGGGATATCCCTATAAAACGCTTATGCTTATGTCCTTTTGGGGTCCCTACTCTAAGCTTTGATCTCTGCGTCATGCAGGCTTGTTGGAAGGGCGGCCACTCTTCGTCCGCCTCCGCGGCTTCGCAACGAGAGCTTCCTTCGCTCAACCTTTGCAAGGACTCACGAGTGAGGGATCTCAACATGGGGAATCTTACAGAGCCTAGATACCTACCAATAGTGAGCAACTAGTTGGCCCATTCGTTGCAGAGCCACGGCAACCCCTAGAGAAAATTTCTGCATCCCGCATGTCCCGAGATTCGTGAGATGGGATGATTGACCATTGCTGAAAACCCTGCAGGGCGAAGGAATTCGGCAGCCAGGCATTGCACGTCGTTTTAGAGACTTGCCTGCAAGCTAAACTGAGCTAGGGGGTCTTAAAAACGAGGATACGAATGCAGAAGGTACCGCATGTTGCTGAAGCTCAGCTGACACTGCCTGTGGCCCACAGGGCCACACTGCATGACTAATGCTATTGTTAATGTTCTTGTAGCTTTATGCATGATAGATGTGCATGTGTGTGTATGTATATATATATATATATATGTGTGTGTGTGAGTGTGTGTGTGTGTGTGTGTGTGTATGGGTGGTTGTCGAAAGTATGGTTTCTTTTTGGATCCCCATTATAATACTGCACCTAATATTTTGGGTACCCAGAAAGGAACCCTAATTTTGACAACTCTCCATACATATATATATATATATATATATATATGGATGTTAAGATGAATCCAGCTTGAGGGCTTAATTTGACTGCTAGCCGCCTCGGAGCCCCCTCAGGCTCGGTGACGGGAAGAGGCCAGGGGGAGGGAGAGAAAGCCAAAAGGAGCTAACGAAAAAAATGTGGGGATGGGAGAGGAAGGGGCGCAAAACCTTAAACCCTAAATCGTCAGGGGCAGGGGGGGGGGGGGGGCCAGAGCGGGGGTGGGCCGGAGCAACGGCCGACAAAAAAACAAAGCTTCCGGACTGTGATAAACAGATTCTCCTGCCTAATTACACTCCCCCCCCCTTCCCCTCCCAAATGGCTCCAAAAAGTTAAATCCAAAAGAAACGCCGGCCAAAGCGCCTTGACCTCTCGGCCTCCGCGGATCTCCGGCCTTTTCTCGATTTTGACTTCGGTCTGCCGGAACTCTCAGAGCTGAGGACCGCAGGGTGCAGTGGCTTGTCTGACCATTTGAGCGAGGTGTTTGCCGTTTAGTGATTTTAGTTTTCCGTCTTTTAGGGTGTGGGGGTATAGGGTTGATCCTTTCTCGCCCGGATCCCTTTAGCAATCCACCATTGCTTTCTTGAGATCCTGGCGACATGGGGTTCACGAGTGTTCCTGTGTTGACAAGTTCTGCTTCCACAAAAGGGGGTGATGTGATCTCTTGCTGCTTGCTCTCTCTCTCTCGCTCTCTCTCTCTCCATCTCTGTCCCCTATCAGGCAGGGGGCGGCGGCCGGTGCGCTGTCCTGCGGCGCCTGGGGCGGCTTCTGGGGACTCTGCAACGGCTCCGTCATCGGATGTTCAGTCGCTCGCCGAGAGATCCGCTCGGGGTCGGACTCGTGGGCTACGTTTGGGATGATGGTATCAGTGCTGTACGACCCAGACTCCAAAGCAGTTCTTTTTTGGGTTTACCTTATAAGGATTCTAAATATGAACCCTAAAAAGGGACTACTATGGAGCCTTAGGGTAGTTACTACCTCAGACAGAGCTGTTAGATTCTGGCTTGTTTGAGGTTGAGCAGCATGTGCAGCAGATACGTTCAGGCCAGTTGCATCTGCCAGGTCCAGCTTCTGCGAAACGGGAGAAGAGGAAATGCTTGGAAACCCCAAGTTCTTCACCCCAAAGGTTCCTTATCGTCTGTCAAGCATGACTTCAGGCATTTCACAAAAGAGAAATTCAAGAGCTTCCAGAAACGTCCGCCGAGGTCGGTTTGATGGCAGCTCCCTTCACCCTAGGCTGGCCAGAGTCGGCAAGCGTTCTTGGGTGGTTCAGGTCCACCTCAGTCTTGCTCTAACGTCAGTACTACTTATACAGGCTTTTGGGTGTGAATTATAGCGTTTTTCATACAGGAGGAAAAGGGCATATAATACTAGTACATTAATACTAATGCTGACCCCTGCGTTACCAGGCGCGCCAGAAGCCCGAAACCCGCAGTCCCACTGGCTCTGTCCTGTGCCAGGCTTTTCGGTCCCAGTTCTTACCTCCATGATGGCCTGGACCGGCCTGGTTGTGGGCCTCCTGGTTGCGGTTCAGATCTAGGTGGTTGTCAAAATTGGGGTCCCTCGCTGGGTCCTTTTATTATAATACGGCACCTAATATTTGGGTACCCAAAAAGGGACCATAATTTTGACAACCACCCGTCTGGAGCTTGACGGCATTTGCCAATGTTTCCTGTGTTCGACTTGCTAGTCGGGAGGCACCCGCGGTTGTATTAGGGTGTGTGCCTGTTGGTGCCAGAGGCGTGGGAAGCTTGCTCAGGTTCATCACAACGTCAATGGTCATGAGATTTATGATGCCGATAGCATCCTTGACGGTTCTGCCGCTAATCATGTTGGTGGATAATTTCGGGCAGCTCTCACGGGGGTGCCAAAACGGCCTGAAGCAAGCTTTGAGGCTCTTCGGCTGGGGTGGGGGCCGGCTTGGTTGGCCCGGCTCTTACAGATTTCGAGTTGGCAGATTGGGGCTGGTGTTGAAAAGCATCATGCCATGGGTGTGCACTTGAATTTCGGAGATCGGGGATGCATGGCAACAGGCGCCGAGGTTGAAGGTCTTCGGTGGCGAAACGAAAACCTAAGTGATTTTGAGGCGTTGCCCGTTATTAGCATGTCCGTGAGTTTTGCTGCTGATGTTGCTGGCATCGACCGCGGCTACCACTAGCACTACTAGTACTACTGGTAGTGCTAGTACTACAAGTATTACTTGTACGACGCAGACTGCGACGATGACGACGATTTGAGAACTGGCACAGCCACTGCCACAACCGCCACCACTCACACGCTGACAATGCCACTGCCGCCAGCATCACCACCACCACTACCACTACAATCATTATTGCCACTAGTGCTACCATTATCGCCTGCTGCTACTGCTCCTACTGCTCCTACTGCTACTGCTCGCTGCTACTGCTGCTGCTGCTGCTGCTGCTGCTGCCTCTGGAAATGCTACTGCTGCTGCTACTACCACCACCACCACCACCGCCACCACCACCACCACCACCACAACCACCACCACCACCACCACTGCTACTACTAGTACAAACAACAAGAAGCACAACAGCTACGACTGCTACTGCTACTGCTGCTACTACTACTATTACTATTACTACTGCCACCACCACGACGACGACTACCACGCCACAACCACTGCTGCGGCTAATACAGTCCTTCTGCTACTACGAACACCACCACTACCAGTGCTCCACTCCCCCTGCCGCTGCCCAAACTGCTTCTACGCCGACGACTGCGACGACAACTGCGCTGTCTATGATCCTGACAGACGGCTTAAGTATCGAAATCGTTGCCTCCTTTGTAGGCCAATACCTGCTGTGAGTAAACCGCGCTGTGCTCCGAGGCGGTGGCTGTGCAGGTTACCTGTACAGTGTGCACAACACAGCTCGGGTCCAAGAGGGCAACCTCAGCTGTTTGCGCCACGGCTGCTCGCAACTCTTCTTGTCGACTGCACCGTGGCATTACGGCACACTCCGCATTCTGGAGCTCACAACCCTATTCTGAGTGCACTTCGGATGATGGACCAAGGAGCAGCGAAGGCCGCGGGCACGGAGACGCCAGCAGCGGCAGCGCATGCTACAGTGACGCTTGTGCCAGCCACTTTGAAGTTTGCTGGCATTTGTAGCGGTGGCCCACCAAAGCAAATTCGATGCTAACTCACCAGAGCAGTCATGGCAGGCGTTGCTTCAACAGCGTGTGCTAGAGTTGCATTCTACAAAACGTTGGTGCGACAAAGCCGATGCAACCTCTGCAGCAGTCTAGGGGTTTAGGGGTTTAGGGTTTAGGGTTATTAAGGTACTGTAGCTCTGTGCGGACCCAGACGAAGTCTGGGTGTGGCCCAAAAGGCCCTCCAGGCCTCACGTTTGAACTGAATGCCGCGTGGTTTCATCTTCGTTTCGAGGGAAGCCTTGCCCCACAACTAGTATTATTTTTTTTTCATGTTTAATCCTATTTTTTGTTTATTAACTGTTGTATTATTGCTATTGTCTACATTGCGATTATTGTGATTACTTGTGTTGTTATACTATTTCTCTACAACAGGCAGGCCACCCATGCAAGCCTCTGCGCCATGAGCCAGCATGAGTACACAACCAGCGCCGTAGGAGCGGTTCAGTCTGAACTGTGGCATTGGACTCGGACAAGTTGTTGAGGACTGCAATATAGTATAATCGAAAAATATTAAGATTATATATATATATATATATAGTGTAATATGATGTTGCAGGAGATGCGAGATGCGTTCCTCGGTGCAATAGCTTGCGTGAGTGCTCGGTGCTGGCTGGGCGTGGACTCGAACGCCAAGTCTCAGCTTACCGAGAAAGGGTCATGGCCATCTCCCTGGGACCAAAACAGCCCAAACGCCTTAGCATATGAGACCTTAGAGCCCGAGGGTCTTGTGGTGTCCAAAGAGGCCAAAAAGAGCAAAAAACAGCAAATTTGCCGCGTCCTGCAGAAGGTGGGAAAAAAGGCACGACCCCTCTTGCTCGAAGGTGGTTGTTTTGTTTGCATTTGACTGGCATATGTGCTGCCGGAGAACTAGCATGAGCAGCAAGAGCTTCTACCTCGAATCCCTGGCTCCCATCGCGCCAGCCTCCCCTGTAGAACGTGACGGAAGCTAGGTGGACTCCTGCTGGGTGTCATACTGTACCTGTTTTTTGTAGGCATTGCGAAGAGCGAGCTGCGCGGGCAACCGAAGCACTCGAAGCCTTAGAGTCTTAGAGGTCTCAAGCACCAGGGGCCAACAAGCTTGTCCGGGAAAGCAGGTGCCTAGGTTTGGGTGTAGAGGCCCTCTGCTCAAAGCTGTTTCAGTACCATCAGACTCGCTGCAGACTGCGAAACCAAGCTCCCGGATCTTCGGTATCCTCCGAAAGCTGTTGAAACTCTGAAGCGCCGCAGATGCCTCAACCGCCTCTGAAGTGAAACCTTGCTCGACTCTTGAATCTTCTGTCCGGTGCTTAGTAGGGAATGAGGGAATGGATCCCTATAGTAGCCCCTATATAATCCCCAATGATAGTCTCCATAACCCATTCCCTCATTCCTTGCTAAGAACCGACAGTCTTCTAGAGCTGGCACCCGACGGTGAGGCGGCGGCTCACTTACTAGGCGGCGCCTTGTGATTGCGCCCCGTTGGGCCGCAGACCTCCGACTCGCTGGGCCCACAGTCCATGCACATTCCCGGACGTCGGCTCAAGCACGACGAGTTCAGAGCTGTATTTCGGTGGTCAGTATACGGGCCCTCATATGAAACGACTTCTAAATATGAAATATGGCACCTTGCAGCTGCATCACTGGTTCGCGATGGGAGGAAGTAAAGCCGGATATGGATTTGGCAGGATTCAGTGGCGGCCAAGACAGGTCCTGTTTTCCGTGTAAGGAATGGCTTTAGTTAAGTGTCGTATTCTTTGTAAAGCCTCAAGGCTCTCTCTCTTTTCGTAGACTTAGCAGTTACGCCAGATGTGCTCCCTCATCCAACATCACGCAGCACGTGCTTGCACGCCGAGCGACTGAGGCCCGCAGGGCCAGGAAGGGCAGCACGATGCACATTGGAGGCCCGGCGGGACGTGTCTTGTGGAATATATCTGGGACAGCAACGCGGCCACAGAGAAGGGGCAAACGACAAGCAGAGATGCACACCGCAGCACGCCGACGGGACAAGGGAGGGAGGCAATGGGCAAGCACAGACAGGCGAGAGAGACAGACTAGGGGCCTAAATAATTGCCTTTACTATTTTGGGGGGTTCCTTAATTACAGATCGAACGGGCGGGTCATGGATCGATGATTTGATTGATCGGCTGCAAGGACAGGCGTTGCATGGCATATGAGATATGAAATTACTACTAACTTTACTAGCCCATCTTGGCACCTGAACTTAGCATGAAATCCTCCCCGGACCTCAGTCAATGAAGGTGGCGGGTACTTGCAAGTAGGTCATAAGGCTCAACAGAAGGGGCATGTCCACAGTCTTTGTAACTTAACGCCTCAATTTCTTCGTTGCTGCGCAAGTCCCGTGAGCCGTAAGCATCCTCTCAGAGAGACTATACACCCCTCAAAGAAAGTTAGGACCCCCTTCGCCCCTTTCGGGCTATGGCACCACCCCCCCCCCCAACCTAGTAATACAATATGAAAAAATCCTATTCACACTCTAGAACCCCAATACTCCTATCTACCTAGGTGCCATAGCCTAAAACGGGCAAGGGGTTCCTTATAGAATTTGGTTCAGGGTTTAGGGTTAAGGGTTGTAACTCTAATTATAATATATAGCTGCTTATGTATTTTAATTACACTACAACTACGCAGTTTTTGGTTTCAACCGCGGTGGCGTGTTAAAATTACTAGGTTGGGGGGCGGGTGGTGCCATAGCCCAGAAGGGGCGAAGGGGGACCTAACTAAGAACCAGGCTGTGTTTCGGTTTGAGTTTAAACCGACTGAACATGGTTTTCGTAGGAGGTCACTTTGCACAGAGCTGCAGATTATGTTTGTTGATGGCAGGTTTGACCGCAGGTCAAGCGCACAGAAATGTGCAATCACGAGCACAGCACGGTGATGCGAATTGAAATTCAGGAGCCGAACACGACGAGTCTGCGGTCCGTCTACGCCAAGTGGCATGCTGCCGGGCTCTGCAATCTGCGCAGGCAGGGTGCTTGGGCATCGGTGCTGTTTTGTTGAGCATGTCAGTCGTGACATCTCCAGCCTTCCACAACGTCGCCATATTGGCCCAAGCCCAGCATTGCCTCAGCGTGAAGAGCCAGGGTTCCTGCCGAACCCACTTGGAAAGGTGTATTGACCTCTGCTATGGTGGCGACAGCCCTGTTGCTCTTAGTCTCCACAGGCCAGCTCGACGGGGCGACAAGCCCGCATCGAAAGCCTGCTCTTGCACCTGCGTGCGCAGGTCTTCGGCCAAATTGGGAAGAGCGCAAGGATCCCTCCACCGGTATGATGTTTGACTACACTAAGGACCTTGGTGGTCAAACACCTTACAGGTGGAGGGATCACGAAGAAGACCTTTTGGAATAATTAGGCCGAAAGGGACAGCAGCGCCGACCTCGTTGGGCGGTCGATGTTGATATCGTTTGCGAGATGGCCAGGAACATGGCAGGTGACCTTTTTCTCGCATCCTTCGCTAGAAAATCAATATTGGAAGGCCTTGTCAACTTCGGTAGCGGCGAGATGATCGTGCTGAAGTACAGTGCCAGCCTCGTGAGGCAGTGGGGGTTCCAGTACGGCTCGCAGGAGCATGTCGCTGCCAGAGGTGTGGCTTTGACATCCGGCGGCGATATGGCCGTCGCAGGCGAAACATTGGGGAGCTTGTTCCCTCCCCACAACGGAGACGAAGATCGCGACGTTTTCATTATGAAGTTCCCTGCTACTGATGGCATCACAACCGACACGTTCCCGGCAGTGGCAGTTTCTGAGTGCATCAAGCGAGCGCCGACACCAACGATCGGGTTCGAGGCTTGGCGGTGGCCCCCAACGGCGACATCTTCGTCGTGGGGAGGGTTCGCGTCTGTCACGAATATCTCGGCAGCGACGGGTGGTCATTTAGCAATGAGGTGTTTGTGATGAAGTTCACTTCCAGCGGCATGGAATGGAAAAACACGTTCGGCACCAATCAGTGCAATGAGGACGGACGACTGGTGGCTCTGACTGCTGGCGGAGATATTGTCGTCTCGTTCGCGACCTTCTATCGCACTCCTGGCTATCCGAACACGTTTGGCGTTCAGCCCCAGCGGAAGCATGGATGCGGCAGTTTGGCACTTCAGAGCTTGACACTGCAGATGCTCTCTTGGAGGATGTGGATGACGGTTTCTTAGTTGCGGGCATCACGTGTGGATCGATGGCGGGCTTCACCCAGAAGGGGCAACAACACCTTTCTGAGGAAGTTTGACGCCAATGCTGAGTCGCTGTGGATGTATCAGCACGGAATTCGTTATGGCGGAAGCGCCTCTGTCATGGCCCTGAACTCGGACGGCGAGCTCGCCTTCGCCGGCAACGACCAACACTCTCTTCACTTCGATCTTCCCAAACTCTCCCTGCCCTACTACGGCCCCTACCACAACATCTTCGGGTGCCCGGGCCGTGGCAGGTTTAGGGCTTGCGATTGGTGGCACAGCTTAGCTGCCAACGCTCCGCCAGCTTGTTGAGTGATCCTGGGGGGTCGTGTAGCATCGTAAGCCGGGATGCGGCTTTCTCCGAACAGGCGGCCAGCCTGAAACAGTAGGTCTCCACGCCATTTAGGTGGGGGGGAAAAGCAGACCAGATGCGCGGAGCGAACCCAGCCCCCAGCACTTCGAGTGATTAGACCTTCTATTCATTGACTACTGCTCCTGCTTTTGCCCCCTTGCTCCTGCTTCCAGACGCTGCCTTGGCAGCTTCCAGCTGTCGCACCACTTGCCGACCTCACAGCCTTCGCCTTTACTGAAGCATGCAGCATTCCAGCAAAAGCCTTCCAATGAGATCGTCTGGGCAGCGTGAGATCTTGTGAGATTTTCCCTGACCAGGATTCAGGATCGCGCGATGTCGGCGCGACGGACTTTGCCAAATGGTGAAC